CTGCCATTCAGAGGGACCTGGGCAGGCTGGAGAGGTGGGCGGAAAGGAACCTCCTGGAGTTCAATAAAGGCAAATGCAGGGTCCTGCCCCTGGGGAGGAATAACCCTATGCACACCAGTCCAGGCTGGGGGTTGACCTGCTGGAAAGCAGCTCTGCAGAGAAGGACCTGGGCGTGCTGGTGGACAACAAGTGAAGCATGAGGCAGCAATGTGCCCTTGGGGCCAAGAAGACCAATGGGACCCTGGGGTGCGTGAGGCAGAGTGTTGCCAGCAGGTGGAGGGAGGTGATCCTGCCCCTCTTCCCAGCCCTGGGGAGGCCTCCCCTGGAGTACTGTGTCCAGTTCTGGGCTCCCCAGTCCAAGAGAGACATGGCCCTACTGGAGTGAGTCCAGCAGAGGGCTATGAAGATGATGAGGGGACTGGAGCATCTCTCCTATGAGGAAAGGCTGCGAGAGCTGGGCCTGTTCAGCCTGGAGAAGAGAAGACTGAGAGGAGGTGTGATCCATGTGTACAAGTATGTGAAGGGAGGTGTCAAGAGGATGGGACCAGACTCTTCTCACTGGTGCCCAGGGTGAGGGACAACAAACAGGACAGGCACAAACAATCACGGGAAGTTCCATCTGAACATGAGGACAAACTTCTTTCCTGTGAGGGTGACAGAGTCCTGGAACAGGTTGCCCAGAGAGGTGGTGGAGTCTCCTTCCCTGCAGATATTGGAAACCCGCCTGGACGCGATGCTGGGAAATATGCTCTAGAGGCCCCTGCTTGAGCAGGGGGGCTGGACTAGATGATCTCTAGAGGTGCCTTCCAACCTCAACCATTCTGTGATTCTGCGATACTAACAAGCTGTAACTTTGTAGGGTACATTGTGCCCAAACCTAATGCCTGGCATGTGACTTGGGGAAGTCTAGCTGATCAGGCTTGAATTTGAGGCATCTGCTTGGGTACTCAAAGCTACATGGAAGATGTGATGCAATTCCCAGAGCTTTGGATCAGTCTTGCAAGCTACTGAGTACCAGAGTAAGAGACATCAAATCCAGTTGACACATCCAGCCAAATGCACCACCTCCCAGGGAGAAGACCATGGCTCCAGCACCAATGGCCCCACTTCAGAGTAGCACTTAAGCATGTGCATCATCACTCTGGCAATCAAGGGGAGTGTCCTGTTCAAACACGTAGGTGTTCAACTGAATAAAGGCTTAAACAGTGTCTCCTAGCTCTGGCTTCCTAAGTTTTTGTATCCTGTACTGAAGTTCAGACCTAAGGTGGATGCAATTGGTGTTGTCTAGCCTCTCTGTGGTGGTTATCCTGGGCCAGTTGTTCCACCTAGTCAATATGTTCAGGAACAGCGCACTGGAAGGAAAAGTTCCATCCCTCTTGCCCTTGTCCAGGTAAGAACAGATCCAACATTTCAGGTGACTTGGAGGAGTATTGGGTCCCAGTGACATTTTTAAAAGGCTTTTCCTTTGTTATCTTTTCCAGTCAGGCTGGAATATGGATTCCTTCTCACACAGAAGCAGGGTCGCAGCTATGTCTGAAGGGGACATGGCAGAGTTAGCAGAAGACTCACTTGTCTTATGAACCATCTTTCCACATTCTCAGGGAAGGCTGAACCATCTCAGGAATCATCATGAGGCGTAGTATTAAATCCTAGGATATCTTTAAGTTTAAAGGCAATTTAAAGCCACTTGAGATGCTTGCCATTGGTTCTGTCATCATCCTAATGATGCATGCAACCAAATTCAGCCAAAAAAGTTTTTGACCAAGATTTCCAACCAGTTTGCTGTCATATCCCAGGAGCATGTTTCAGCCAAGAAATGAGTGTCTTTTATCTTTTATCTTATTATCTTATGTCTTTTATCTTATTTCCAGATGAAACAAATAAATGTATTGCATTGTTGTTGTTGTATGTCTTGCAGACAAACAAAGCAGTAGCCAAGGGGGACTTCCACCATGCAAGCTCCAGCTCCCGGCGAGCGCTCTTCCTGGCTGTGCTGTCCATCACAATCGGAACTGGCATCTACGTTGGGGTGGCCGTGGCTCTTATTGCCTATCTATCCAAAAACAACCATTTATGAGCCTCAGGAAAGGGGAGAATCAGCCACCTGGTGCCCACACTACAGAAATCCCCAGCAGATCAGACTGCATGGTTTTCCAAAACAATCAAGAGACAAACAAACACCTTCGGGGGGCAGGTACTGGATAAGATGGTCTCGTGCATTATTGTAGGGTGGGAAGGTAGGCTGGGGTGAGGATGGTTCCACTGTTTCTGATGAACAAGTCTTGCTTCTCTTCATGAACACCCCTACAAGAGTGAAAGAAAAAAGAAAGAAAAAAGAAAAAAAAAGAAAGAGAAAGAAAGAAAGAAAATTTTGAGGGTGTGGGGGATAGGGTGTTTGGCTTTGCCTTCTTTGCAATACGGTGTTTACAAGAAGCTGGCATCCTAGCTGTTCTCTGAATATTTTGTCAGTGACCTGAACTTTACAGCCAGCACGAGCTTGTGCTTAGTTTGCTTGTTAAGCACGGCACCAAGATCTGGAAAAGCATGGACAGTGGCTGGTTCTCTGAAAGACCAATATAACAACAGGAGGAAGCATATATTTTCTTTTTTTTTTTTTTTGAATGCAGGACTCATTTGCCTAAGGGTGAAGCAGAGACCTCAGCGTAGAATGGTATTGCCTATTCTTCTTGTGTTGGTAGGTTTCCGTGGAAGGAGAAAAGGAAATGAAAAATATTTTTCTTTCCTTTCCTTGTTTTTGGATTACGATGTGACCCACAGGCTCACCAAATGCAGAGCAGCTGGGGTTACTGCATGACTTGGCTCTGCAGACTTGAGTGTGAGGTCAAAGTAGCATGGGATCTGTTGTGCAATGAATTCTTCCATCCAGTCACACCGTGATAATGGCACATCCTGTGGCACGTTGCTCATTTGGGTTGCTCCACCTTACTATGGAGACCTGTGCAACAGTAAATACAGGAAACCCAGGAGAAAAAAATGCAAACTGAAATATTAATCAACTTAAAATTTAAAATCATAGAAAAGCATGGGAATTAACCAGGGGAAGGAATGCTTCCTACATTTTGAAGTACTGCTCAGACACAGGGCAGTGAATGAGACCACTCAAATTGCAAACTCACAGCTCATCCATGGACCAGGGACTCTTAGCATAGCCGTGGAGGGATAACGTGACATTATCTTGCTGTGCTGCCCCATAACAGTTTATGGTAAGGGACTTGAACGTTGTTCTTGTTTCATTGACTGCGATGACACATTTATTTTCTTCTTTACTCCCTCCCCACAGTCACCCCTTCTATTTTGTTGTCTTACAGATCTACCATTTCATCCCACCAAGGGTTTATCAGAAGATATATATGTATGTGCATATAGAGAGAGAGAGGAAAAAAAAACTGATCAAAACAATAAGGATTTTATTATTCACTACCTTGTATTTTATCAATATCATTTCTTTACCTAAAATCATCATCAAGGAACTTTTGTTCCAACTCTATTTTGTGTCTGTTTTGCTCTGGGATAAATTTTTCCTTCTGTTTTGGGGTTGGCATTGTTTTAATTTTAGTTTTGAATTTTTTTTGGGGGGGGGGGAGAAGGACTAACACATCCAAAACTATTTTTCTGCTAGTTATACAGTTTATTAAAACACATGGTATACAGATGCTGATGCTCTGTGTGACACTTTATTTAGATGGATGTGAGGCATTAGACTGAAACTTGCCCTAGTATACTGATTCACCTAACTGGAGAAGCAGCATGGACCGTTCCGTATTGTATCTGGGCCAAAAGCATATTGCAGTCACTGGCAGATCTTCTTTTGTATTAATTTATTGGGCTTCAGACTAAGCCTTGAGACCAACAGTTTATTCTCTGTTCATGTTCATCAGTTCTCAGCCACTGCTAAAGCTTAGGACCCAGTAAATGCAGGGTTTTTTTTTAGCCAGGTTGCCCCATGAAAGTAAGGTGGTTATTCACTCTTTTTTCTAGCAACTGCCATGAAGGCCCTTTCCTTTGAAGCAAGGCAGCAGGCGAGTATGTTCCCACCTAGTATTTGCCACAATATTCAGTATCTGGGTTTCGGTGGGTGGCGGAGGAGGGCACGATTTGCTCCCTTCGTACTCTGACAGCAAGATGTGCAGGTTTGCCACCTAAGGTGCATTGAGCCAGCTCTCCAAAGCAGTGAGTGTCATGGTTTTAAAAACCATGCTGGGGCACAAGTTGCAGTCCTCACCTCATCCACCCTTGTGTTCAGGCTGCCTGCAGACTCAGGTGGCTGTGACCACTTTGGTTCATGTTTGTCTCATTGCAGACTGTTCTTCCCTCTGAGGAGGAACGGGCACTTTCTTCCTTGGTTCTTTTTAAGGGTAGAGTGAAGGGCTGCTAGACTTGCACCAAGTACAAGGCTGCGTGCGCTAGGCTTGGGCCTACAGGAAATGTCCAGATCTTATTTTGCCTGAGTTCACAATGGAATAAAGTCATGTTTGAGAGAAAACCTTGGCTGAGACAAGAAAGCCCTTATCTAACAAGCAAATACAGGGACTGAAAATACTGTTTATTTATTTAATTTAAATGAACATATTTACAGCTGGGCTTTTTCCCATTTGTTTTTCATCTGAAATAAGCAGGAGGGCCAGGGGAAAGGACAGCAGTGTGGAGCATACCATGCTTGGTATTTGAGCTAGCACTCCCAGAACTGACTTTCTCCATGGGAAGGTCCTTCAGGCCACAGAGCGCAAGATGTACATTGAGATCTGAGAGTACACACGTATGGCTCCTTGAAACCCAGTCATGTAGCAGATTCATCCCCCTGGTAACCGCAAGGGTCTTTTTTTTTTTTTTCCCCCCCCCCCCCCCCCCCTTTTTTTTTTTTTTTGCTTTTGTAATACACATGCACCAACTGCCTCCAAGTTGTCAGCAAGCTGGAAGTTGGGCAAGGTAACATGGCTTTCACCAGGTGCTCCCATGCTCTGCCCCTGACACACGGATCAGTGGAAAGAATCCTACACCCAAGAAAATGGATTGTCACGTGCTACCTGCCCTTCTCTGCCATGCTCTGGTCAGCATGTGTCCTGAGGAATTAGTTCTTTCTCCCAGAGCCTGAATGTTGGGACACATGCTATTGAAGAAGAAACTCTTATTTTTCCTTTAAAAAGAAAGTAATTTTTCCTAGCCCGGACATGAGTTTCACTTAGAACTTAAAAAATTAGAAAGCAAATACAGAGTCTCCAAGATCGCAGAATCACAGCATGGTTGAGGTTGGAAGGCACCTCTAGAGATCATCTAGTCCAGCCCCCCTGCTCAAGCAGGGGCCTCTAGAGCACACTGTACAGGAGCGCGTCCAGGCGGGTTTCCAATATCTCCAGCGAAGGAGATTCCACCACCTCTCTGGGCAACCTGTTCCAGGACTCTGTCACCCTCACAGGAAAGAAGTTTGTCCTCATGTTCAGATGGAACTTCCTCTGTTTCAGTTTGTGCCTCTTGCCTCTTGTCCTGTCACGGGGCACCACTGACAAGTCTGGCCCCATCCTCTTGACACCTCCCTTCACATACTTGTACACATGGATCACACCTCCTCTCAGTCTTCTCTTCTCCAGGCTGAACAGGCCCAGCTCTCGCAGCCTTTCCTCATAGGAGAGATGCTCCAGTCCCCTCATCATCTTCGTAGCCCTCTGCTGGACTCACTCCAGTAGGGCCATGTCTCTTTTGGACTGGGGAGCCCAGAACTGGACACAGTACTCCAGGGGAGGCCTCCCCAGGGCTGGGAAGAGGGGCAGGATCACCTCCCTCCACCTGCTGGCAACACTCTGCCTCACGCACCCCAGGGTCCCATTGGTCTTCTTGGCCCCAAGGGCACATTGCTGCCTCATGCTTCACTTGTTGTCCACCAGCACGCCCAGGTCCTTCTCTGCAGAGCTGCTTTCCAGCAGGTCAACCCCCAGCCTGGACTGGTGTGCATAGGGTTATTCCTCCCCAGGGGCAGGACCCTGCATTTGCCTTTATTGAACTCCAGGAGGTTCCTTTCCGATCACGTCTCCAGCCTGCCCAGGTCCCTCTGAATGGCAGTACAGCCCTCTGGTGTGTCAGCCACTCCCCCCAGTTTAGTGTCATCAGCAAACTTGCTGAGGGTGCACTCTGTGCCTTCCTCCAGGTCACTGAAAAGTACATTGAACAAGACTGGACCCAGGACTGACCCCTGGGGGACACCACTAGCTACAGGCCTCCTACTAGACTCTGTCACTGACCACAGTCCTGATCATTACATGTTCCTAAAAATAATAAGAATGTCATTATTTTTAAGTCAGTCTTGGAGATGAAGGGTCTGCGTTATGATTTTTGATGATGGCTGTGCAGGGTGAATGTTGACCTAACAGGAGAAAGTCTGTTCTGGAGCCAGAAGAAACCTTCGCAGATGGGTAGCCTTAAAAAACTCATAGAGGCCTTCACACCTAGCCTTAAAAACAGCATCCCCCATTTGGGAAATGGAGGGTTTAATCTCTCCAGAAACCCCCCAAGGGATAGGAAACAGTGGTAGTTCTGCAAGAAAGACCTGCCCAGCAGAAGCACCCCTGAGAGCATTGCATGGCTCAAAGGTGAGGATATATCTCTGTGCTGAGCATGCTGGAGCAGCCCATGGCAGGATGCAGGGCTGGGATGTGGTATTGCAGTCTGGGCTCTGCACTGGGAGAGTGAGCAGGGAAGCTGAAGGGGGCTTGCATCCCAGGGAGGGTGAATTGAGCCTCACAGCAGCCCAAAGATGGGGATCAAGTTCCTGTTGATAGCTTTAAAGTGTTAGTTTTGGTTCCTTTTCTGAGTACCTGTAGCACAGATGTTTACCCAGGGCTGCAGGCTGACCAAAGGGACCCACGTAGTGGTCTGTCTCCTGGTTACGTGGTGGTCTGTCTCCAGGTTCAGGTAAGTGATATCGGCATGGCCTGCAGCAGCAAATCTGGGTGCAGAATGGATATAATTCTCTAAAGAAAAACCTACAGAATGAAGACTAGAAAGTGCCACTGACACAAATGCTACAATGTGAGCTTCTGCTCAGAAAGGACCTCTGAAGCTACTTAGGGCATGTTGGTTCTGTTCCTCAATGTCAGAAAAGTTTTGATAAAGGAAGGAGAACTCTGAGGAGACCTGCTGTGTAAGTACTATCTGACTCAGGGTTTCCTTGGCTCAGGCTTCAGTGTAGCCACACACTGTGATGTGGTGGAGACAGAGGAAAAGTTTGAGGAGAGCTCCTTGAAGCATTGGCAGCTGGTGAAAGAGCAAGAAGGACTGCACAAGGTGCTGTGGGGCTGTGTCATGGCTTACATCTGCCTTGCAAGCAGGATTCTCTTCCTGCAAGGATATCTTCCTCTATTCAATCTCCAGTGGGCTGTGAAGAGCTGGTACAGCATTTAAGCTGCAGCTGTCCCCTTTCTGGACAGTCACAACTCAACACTGTTTCTCAAAACACTGTCCAAGTCAGCTCACCAAATCAGATTGAGGAGGCAGCTATAGACTACAACCTATCCAAGAAACTGGAGCAATGTGCTGCAGAAACAAACATTAGGGTCT